CCATGATTAAAGAAGAGTGATCCTGTGTTTTCTCTTTGGCCACAGCCTCGTGCAAGCCGGCTGTTGTTTGTGTTTGAGAAACAATATCACACGGCAGAAAAATAAAGTGATGCTTGATCATTACTTATGCTTGTTTAAAGGAGTGGTAGTCAAATAACATGAGTCAATACAAGCAGAATCATCATTGTTGACATGATGCAAACGCCACAGCACGTGCTGTCAGATGTCCAAGTTTACTGAGATGTCACTGAAGGAGGCTCTCTGGGTTAGTTGGTAAAAATATTCCCTTTTTTCTTCCCATTATTTTTAACTATCTCCACTGTACAGTACATATGGACTGTTTTACTAAGACTGCCTCCAGCACATTTCTGTTTCCTTTTTACTTTTTGTATCTCATACCTTTGTGCTTGCAAACATTGTGAGGGCATTTTATCTTAAAGGGCGTGCAAAAGCATCCTGCTGGTTTTTATCTGATATTTTTCTGTCTTGATTTCTATCTAAAGCAAAAACTGTATTCAGTTCATGGCCTTTGCATTTTCACTGTCTTGTCTTACATGCTGACTGCACTCTCCTCATTATTCATTATTTAGTAACAATGACATCACTGTGATCGTGATGACAGTCTCTATGTGTGCTTGTCTGTGTTTTTCAGAATTAAAGAGGGTTTCAGAACTACAGGACTGAAAACTGGTCTCCTTAAGGTGATCTCCTTTAATTTCTGCCTTAAATGATACTTCAGGGCTTTTCAACCCTTTTTTACGTTATTTTTTCCAGTTTTGCTGTAACCTCAAACCTCTAACATACTGTATACATGCGGTAAAGTAGCAGCATTCTTTTTATCACAACTGTCTTTTCTGGGGGAGACGGCTGATCTGCCTCTTGGCCTTTCCATCAGGATTTTATGAAGTGCTCTCAGTCTGGACCTTTGCCCTGTAACCAGTTTGCCTTGGGAAACACTTCCAGGAGCTATAGCAACAACATAGCTCCTGGGATCACACGGACACAGGGCAAACTCCTTGACTATACGGTGGTGATTCTCAGGGTTTCAACATGCTGTGATACAAATGGTTCAAATGAGTTTCCTCTGGTCAGTGTCCTCCGGTCAGAGCTCAGCCTCCCTCGCTGGAGGGATTACATATCCCACCTCTCCTGGTAAAACATTCAGATTCCAGAGGTGGAGCTGGATAGTGTTGCTGGGGAGATTTAGATCAACATGCTTAGACCTTGACCCCTAAGCGGAAAGAAAATGGATGGATGGATGGATGGAAGTCACAACATTGATTACTGTATCTGTAAACTGAATTGAAATTTTTTTGTTCACATCTCTGCAGAGACGCATAGAATTGCATAAGCAGTTTAGTGCTATCATCCACTTAATCTAAAACAGCCACTCTACATTAGTCTATGGATGGCCGCCTCTTCTTTGCCAAGATCCAGGACCCATATAGGGGATGTGCTGTTATTATGTTGGGCTGTGCAGGACCACACCAGGGTTGACTGTCTCTCCTTATAGGCTGCAGACCAACTGGTGCATCTCTATCTGTGGTGTCTAATTATCGTTCACATAATTATGTAGGTACTCGGACCACCTGCAGACCAGCTGCCAGTTGAATCGCCTGGACATAATTGTTGGAAAATTGGCCTGAATTAGACTTGTGTTTTATTTTATATTTTGATAGTTTGTTTTCTGAATTCCATTTCTAGTCTACACAGCACTGTTTTTTTGTTTGTTTTTAAAATCAAAGATTTTGAGGCCTGAATATTTTACATAGCTTTGCAAACATACTGTACTTATTTAGCTCTTTGCGTCATTGGTTTTTAACAATTGAATATTATAAATGAATATTCTTATAGAAGTATCACTAATTATTGTTGAGAAAAATCATTTTTAGTTGACCTTTATCCAACCTTGACCAGGTAATTTTAGCTGCAGATAAACCCACCTGAATGTGGAGGGTGCAGGTCAAGCTGACCTGATACTGGCTTCAGATTAAAAGGTGTTTGGAGGATCTATTGTCAAAAATTTAATAATAAATACATGAAAGGAAAATCACAGCATTGGTCTCATCAGCAGATGCCAGAAAAAAAATAAACCTGTGGTTTGCAGCAGCAGGAACATGACTCCCCTCCAGAACAAAGAAAAGTCATGTGACATTGTTGAAGAGCCAGCATACTTTGATGCATTTATTTTGCTTTCTCTACTAGGGGGGACATGATTGTTTGGTTCTACCAAGAACATTTTCCAAACCAGGGGTGCCGATCACAGTTGAGTATCTTCAATCTTAGATGAACTGTTGCCTCATATTTCTGTTGAAACTCAACGCTGTATCAAAAATCCAGTCATGAAACAATTATTTGGGGGACAGAAAAAGTCACAGAATGCACAAAGAAAAAAACTGTTTAAACCAACTGGAGGCGAGTACACACAATCAGCTGTTTACATTGTACATCTCTCTGTCAGTCTGCTCTTCTCAGCACCATGGACAGTGACACATTTTCCTGTTTGTCATTTTCAACAAGAACAGCGCCTTTTCTCACCATTTAACAGTCAAAGTTGACACTTAAGCACTTGACCTCAAATAATTACTTACCAAAAACATTAAGACTTTGGGCTCTATTTTCGTGTACGCCGGTGAGGCGACGGAGGGTGGCGGACCCCGCGCAGTTGTATTTTCATCTGGCGGAGCCTGGCATACAGCCAGTTTGGTATTTTCGTGGACTGAGGCGCACGGAGGCGAACCGAGACAGAAGCAAACGGACAGAAAGGAGATTTAGTTTGAGCTATGAAAACAGTGGTCCCTTTCCTGTATCTATCTGTCTTGGAGTGTTTGAGAAAGACACTGAAATGGTGACTGTGGACTGTAACGTCGGAAATGGAGAGGTCGTGAGAAGGGTCAAAACGTTTAGTGTGAGTAGTAAATTCTCCACCTCTAAGGAAACCATAAAAAGCAGTGAGAAAGACTGTTTCCAAAAGTGAGTCTAAATATGGCACAAAACACCCCTTTTTCAAATGTGTGATTAATTTGTGCAAGAGAGGTAAAGTGAAAGGAAGACGGATATCTTGGCCTTTGGGTTTCTCTTTCTTAAATCCGTTCAGCAGGAGCTGGATTGAAGGGTTTCCAAGCAGGCTGCCGGCAGATGGATCCAAACACCGCAGGTGGAACTGTACTCCTGCTAAAAGGCCTTTGATAGAAGAAGGTTGCATCTTCCGAGACTCAAAGCAGTGGACCAAGAAAGCGCATACAATAGAAATTTTTATGGGAAATATAGGGACAGAGTAGGTGAAACAGAATGATGAGAAATAGGACCATGCAGAGTCATACACTTTTAATGTTGATTGGGCTAGTCCGGTTCTCATGTATCGGGAGGCTGAATGCATGTATGATTGCAGGGAAGAGTCTAGTCCAGAACGGTCTGATTGAAAGGAGGGCAGGGAAGGCCGGAATGAGCTGCTTCTGGACATATTTTTCGGAATTTCTGAAATTCAAATCGAGACAGGGCATCAGCAATCTTGTTGTCTAAACCTGGAATGTGAGCTGCTCTAATGATAAAATTATCCAGAACTGAAACCCAAGTCAGACGTCTTAAAAACCTATTAATAAAGGGTATGGAGGAACGCCCTTTGTTAATGATATGGACGGCTGCTTCATTGTCACAGAAAATGGTGATTTGTTTCCTTGCCCAGTGTTTCCCCCAGAGTAGGCATGCAATGACTATTGGATAAATTTCCATTAGGGCTGAAGAGGTGACGTTGCTTGGCAAAGATGACAATTCTTTTGGCCATTTGTCGGCAAACCACTGGTTGTTATAGAACCCCCCAAAACCAATGGAAGGGGCTGCATCAGTGAACAAACAGATTTTCAGGGAAGACTCAGAGCAATCGTTGAAAAAAAATGAAATACCATTCCATTTCTCTAGTAAAAGGGACCAGAATCTGAGTTCTGATCTGCATCCTTCGTCTAGTGTAATGGGCGTGGCTAAATGGCTGGCGGTTTTTGTTATGTCGAGAAGCCTGGATATGAAGGAGCGACCCTGGGGGATAACTCGCATGGCAAAATTTAAATGGCCGAGGAGGGAGAGCAAGTCTCTTTTTGATATTGTTTTAGAATATTGCACTTTCATGATCTCTCTGATACGAGTTAATTTATTAATGGGTAGGGAAGCCTGCATTAAGTTGCTATCTAGCACGATGCCTAGGAATTCTATGTGTTGGAGAGGACCAGAAGTTTTCTCCTCAGATAATGGCACCCCTAAGGTAGCGAAGGTCGATTTGAGTGTGGAAATAGCATGGTCTGGCTTGGCATTCGGAAAATCAATTAGCAGAAAATCATCGAGCAAGTGGAGCACAAATGGAAGCCTGCAGTTATTCAGCAGGATCCAGCAGAGGGCCTCTGACAGCGTGTCAAAGATCTTGGGGCTGCTGCGGCACCCGAAAGTGAGTCTAACTGCGAAGTACAGTTTTTCTCTCCATTTGGAGCCGAAGAGATGCCATTGAGAGGGGTGTAGGGGCATAACTTTAAAAGCGTCGGTGATGTCTGCTTTAGACAACCATGCGCACCTGCCTGCTTTTTTAATAAGCTTGATGGCGTCGTCGATTGAGGCGTAAAACAGAGAGAATGGTGGCTGAGGAATAAGGCTATTGATGCTGTTTACCGAATCGTTGTGAGGGGCTGATAAGTCTATGATCAAGCGCTTTTTTCCGGAGTATTTTCGAGTGGCTATGCCGAGGGGGTTAATGCGTGTTATAGGAAATGGTGAATTTATGTACGGACCTATCATGAAACCTTTTTTAACTTCCTTCTCTAGTAGAGTGTCGACTATCTCGGGCTCCTTTAAAGCGGATTGTAAATTATTACACACATGAGACACATTAGGTAACCATGCCAGACCGGCCAAAAAACCTTGAATGAGTCCAGTTATTAAGTAATTGACAAAGCATCGGTTGGGGTGCTTTTGCAAAGCCTTCTTTAGCTCAGGCACGTTGATAGGTGTTGATGGTTTTATTTTTTCCTCACAAGGCGGGATCGTCTTGGGCATACAGATTTGGGGTGCCCGTCCCCGCAAAAGCTGCAAGCGTGGAAATATCTACAGTTAGCATATTTGCACACATTTTCGTTGAAATTAATACATACAGGAGTTATGCTGGGTTTCACCTTGGTCTCGTATCCAAGGTCTCTAGGTTGTTTTACTGTAGCTACGGATTTCGGGCATAAGTTAGAGGAGTGGGAAAAAGAGCTGCATATGGAGCAGGAGAGAGCCTGGCGGCCGGTACAGTGCCTGCTAATCAGGGCTAGATCTACAACGGACCAGTCTACTCTTTGGTTGAATCTTTGGATGAACATGGCAGCTTTGGCAGAAAACGATTTATGGTATTCATAGAATAGAGTTCCACCATAAGTCATGGCGAGATCGGCGATGATGGCGAGGTATGTGTCCAATTCGGCTCTACGGAATGGATAGACTTCGCAGATGACGTCCCTGTAAATGCCAAAAGCCACTGTGAATTCTGCTAGAGTCAATGATTTGAAGAGCCTGGGATCGCTATCTTTCAGTAGCACAGAAATGTCTCCGCAGTCAACCACACGTTTATCGCTGACATCAGAGAACAGCAGGATCTTAACCAAATTAATGTCGTTACCTGCCAGGATCTGGCTCCTGAGATTAGGAGAGATTGCAGCTGCAGGAGGGTAGAACGGGACGCCTGTGGTGATGGGAACTGCACTACCCAGGGTTCTTCGCGGGACGGTGATGTTGTCGTAGGGGACCGGGATGACGTCATCGAGCTGCGATGATGGGCCAGCGATGGAGGAGGTGGTGCGTACGTGGTCTTGGAAAGTTTGCGTTGTGGCTTGAAACGGCGTTGGAACGTTAGCCTCAAGGGTCTGGATCCTGGTGTTCATGGAAGAAAGGGAGGACTGGATGGACGAAAGGGCCGACATGATATCGGCGTTCGTCGAAGCTGCGAGGTTATCCGATGGAGTTGCGTGGCTGGCCGCCGGGGCCGTAATTCGCGCCCTCTTGTGCGTCTGGGCGGTGCCTTCTGCCGAGGCTGTACCGGAATTGCTGGTGGTGTGTTTACATTTTGCTGCGGCTTTTCGAGGAGCGGAAGGTGGAGGAGTGCTTGCAGGTGGACGCTGGGGCTCGGAGCAGCTCAGGAAAAGCCCGAACAATTCCTGGTGGGAGGCGCCGATCGGGGCGGGAATGTTGTTCGAAAACAGGAACTGAAGCAATTTTGGGATCTGCCATTCTTTGATCGACGGATCCGGCGTCTTCTTTCTTGCCAACCTGGAGCTTCTGCGGAGAGAGGAAGCTTCCTCCGGGCCGATCGCGTCCTCTGCATCTGACTCCTGAGGTGACTCCGAGATGCAGTCGAACTGCGGCTCGTCCTCGTCGTACGCTGAGGACATGGTCACGAGGAGCAACGAGGTAAGAATTAACAGAAATGTTTTGGCAGGCATGCGGAAGTTGCTGGTTAGCTGTCAGAGCAGAGGAAGAGGCTGGGTTAGTGCACTTTTAAATAAGGCGCTTTATAGGCAAAGGACCAATAGGAGCTAGGAGTGAATCAGCTGGTTATCATCTGGTTGAGGTGGCTACTAGCCATTGGCTGCAGATCAGCGCTTGACGTCGTGTCCTGACAGAACTAACGCTATGCTTCATTTTTGTGAGGCAAATTTATTTTATATGCCAACATCTATGAAAGAAAGAGCCAGGCCATGGAGCGCGATGCGTCATTTACGCACAGATGGTTCTGATTTTAATGCCATTTTTGGAGTTAATGTTGTGATCTGTGCGCACAACCCACCTTTGTCATGTGAGGTTTGAATATATGCAACTTTATGTGAGTGTCTTCATTTGTGGAAAGGTGTGTTTGTCTTACCAGTGGGTCCAACATTACACACACCAAATTCATCTGTGCTCATATGAGAGAGTGTGGAGGACGCCCAATGCAGTGCTTACAGTGACACTTGTTGAGGAGCTGCCTTCTGTCGCCATCTTGTGGCATTACTGTCTTCAAACATCTCTTGATCTCTTTGACTACTTCACAAAAGTGGTAATACGCCTCGCCTGTGGCGGATTCAAAGGCAGGGAGAGGAGCTTATGTGATTGGTGAAAACAGGTCTCGGCTGTGTTAAACCCACTCCACGCCCTCTCTCCTCCCTCGCTACGACTTACGCCGCTGGGAGGAGCTGAGTTAGGGAGGGGGGATACTTACGCTGGGCTGCGCTGCTCACCAAAATACCAAATTGTGCTTGGGAGCGCCTTGTCGGCGCGGCGGACCTGACTTACGCCACGCCTGCGGCACGTCTCCGGCGAGGCACGAAAATAGAGCCCTTTAAGTGAATGTGGCTGCATATGTGTTTTTCCCAGGAAACCATGGTAGCAAGAAGGCCAAGAAGGCTCCTACATGCAAAACAAGGTTGATGGAGAGCATTTCCAGTCCAAGTTTAAGTGGAACTCAAATGCAGTTCACTTCTATTGTACAATTATGGTTCTTTTCGGAGAGACTCACTTTGCAAATGAATACTTTACATTGGTAGGAAATAATGAGGGAAGTTTTTTTTTTTTTTTTAACCATCAATGGAGAACCGGAAATTTATAGACATGAGGGCTGACGTTCGATTTATTCAGAAAGATCACAATAAATACACTGCTGGACAGAAATACAGAAGGACAGGAAAACTGAGAGCAGGGGTTACAGGGTTGATTTTTCTTTTGATAAACCAGACAGCGCTTCCTTGGTCACAGTGGTGAAAAAAGTTTCTTTTTTTTTTTTTTTCCTCAAAGAAAGAGTTTCTGTGTTAACACAAAGTGACCTTATCTGCAAAAATAACTTTTTTTCTGCTCAGGAAAGTCAGACCCTGACAGAGTTTTATGAAGAACAGAAATGTTGCTTTCAATCCTCTTTCAATAACTTGTATTTCACCTTCAAATAACATTTTACATCCTTTGGAAAAGTTCAGTTGATGGTTGACTGTGTGTCAGAAAAAGGGGAAGATTTAAAGTAACACCATTTACCCTCCAGGGGCCACGATAGGACAGCATTAGACAAGGCCACATGGCTTGAATTCAGAATTTCCTCCTTTGTTTAAATTAACTTTTGAATGTTTACACTGACACTTTATACCAGCTGAAACCTGTTAACAAATAAAGGCAGAGTACTGTAGGTAGGCTGCTGTATCCAAGTTTAGTATCTGGCATCATGGCATCTTGGAAGTTGTGAGGTAGGGCCGCCATAGATCAGACTTTGTTGTCCAGCACATCCTACGGATGCTTGACTGGATTGAAATCTGGAGGATTTAGAGGCTAGAACCTTGAAATTGTTGTTGTGTCCCACCAGACCAATATATCCATGACTCTGTGATCCTGTGGCCTGTTGAACCAGCCCTGCAAACATTTTGTCCTAACGAAGGGTGTTAAGTCCAAACTACGGTTGCCCATGAGGGCATGAGGCTCTTCTCGAGTTGTGGATCTGAATGTCGGAACTTTCCAAAGCCAATCAGAGAGAACCTTTTATCATTACGGGGTGTCTGTTAAGGAGCCAACTCTCATGGTAAAGAGCTGAGAATAACAGCTGTTAACCCTCATAAGTCAGCCAACAGCAACAGTATGTACAATGACAAATCTTTATGATGAGGTAGTCGTTGATGTGGAGTGTCAAATTATAATGGTTACTCTGCAGATCTCTGCTTGTGGAAAACAGCAGCAGGAGTTCAAATCAAAGTAAATGTATTTTAAATTGATCTAATCTGCTGCTGAAAGTCTAACTTCCTCATCCTCATCCTCTTCCAAGTTATTCCATATTTAAAATTGATGACAGGTCTCATTAGTAAATATTGTATATGAACAAGTTAACCTGTAAGGTGCTCAGCCATCTACAGAGGAATGTAGGTGTGAGGCTGAATATGTGTGTACATTACTGTACATTCCCAGGTGTATCATAATAAATAGAGGAAACAAACATAAACACATACAATACATTAAAGGTCAACATATTCTGTAACTTTGCATACACGCATACATGGGATACATGGTCCCACACTTGACCACTGTCATATCATGTTTAAGGTCACATTTACATGTACATGAGTGTGAGTGAAAATCAGAGTCTTTTTTGTCCCAGTAGGTGGTCAGATGTTCAGTGGCATTTATCTGTCTGAAAAAAGGGCAAACCTGCAGCTCCGGCTATATTGAACAGGTAGTTTCAATATTCCACCGATCAGAGCCCCTCTTTTCAGAGACAGCTTTTGCTTTTCTTATTCTGAGCCCTCGTTTGCACATTTCATATCTGAGGCTGTACATTTCTATTTGATAGAGTCTAGGGGTAGTATTCTTTTAATATCTTCAAGTGTTGTTATCATGAGTACTTAAAGGAGGAATTGTCATTTTTACCAGGACATAAATTCACAGTTTAGACAAGCTTATATTTACACTATGTTGCCACAAACTGAAACAGCCAGAATAAGCTGCATTCAAACATATTTTTCCAAGGCTGTTTGTGTTGTGACACTATTAACCTGTTTCTTGGACAAAGTCTCCCCATCGAAAAGGATTTTTGTAGTCCATTTAGAAAAATGCTCCACCCAACCTTTTGCCATGGCTCATCCGTCTTCAGCTGGATATGACAGAGGATGTCTCAGGAGGAATGAGGTCACATCCAAGGACATTCCAAGAGCAGCTTTAAGGTGAAATGTGGTGATAACAAGAAACTCAAACACACTATTATGCTTTCACATTTTTCATGGTGCTTTTTCCTCTTCATGAAATGAAAAGGAAGGCTAAACGAAAAGCAGTATTTACCTCCGCAGACTGTATCTGTAAGGTTTCTCTGTTGATTATTTTATGGGCTGAACAGGTTCGTTGTTTTTATTCCTGGTTTTCATACTTGCACACATTGGTCACCTAATTAAATTTTCTGCATAAAATTTCGAATCTGTATTTATAGAATCTTTTTTTTTTTTTTTATGTTTATTATTTTGGTCCATTTATAATCCTACGGGTATCCACTCATCACAAGTCAGCAGCCTTCATTGAGAGTAAAAGCAGGCAGTGCACAGTCCACCGTAACAACATCCCACCTCCCATCAAGGTAATCTCAAGACAGTGGTATCTGCATGCAGGGTTAGCTAACAATCATATCTAGATCAAACATAGACACCTGCATCACAAATCTATTAAACCCTGAGTTGCAGAAGCCAATCAGCATTCAGACAGAATCACACCTGTCAAAGAGAATTCATGATTTGCTATTGCATGGTTCTGAGAGCTCTCTACCCTTCGACCTGTGTACATGGAAAATACATACCTGAGGCAGGGAGAACACACCTCCCCTTTATTCTGTGTGAATACATAAAAAGCAATGACAGGAAGAGCAGCAGCAGAGACCCACAAGCTTCAGGCCAGAGCAGGCATAAGTGAAACTAGTCAAGTCAAGAAATCTTTATTGTCCCCGAGGGGCAATTTGTGGTGCAGCCAGCAGCAAAACAGAGGCAACATTAAAAAATACACAGCAATAACATGACAGGTTAAAAAGGGTTAAAAATATACAAAATGACAATACATAAGTGCAATACCACGATAAGGGACAGAAGAGAAGGAGTAAAGTGACCACAGTGCATGCTAACTGGTGTTGTTCAGGAGGCCAATGGCCACCGGGACCCAAGACTTTTGAAGTCTGTTTGTCCTGCATCTTGGCACGTTAAATCTACGGCCGGAAGGGAGCAGGCTGAATTCATGTGCCAGAGGATGGCAAGGGTCCGACAGGATAAGTTTAGCTGAGAAAAATTGATCCCAATAGCCTTTTAAACTTAAACTCAAGTTATAATTCAGACTATTTTTCAGATTTTATCAAAACTCATATTAAATCACATCACAATCTGTGTTGATATCACTGCCTCAAATATTAAACTACAAATTTCATTAGTCATTTATTTATTTATTTATTAATTTTTGTTTTCCTGGAGTAGTAAGATTCCAACACATGACATACTGTAAAAAAAAAACAAGATCACTCCATGAAAAAGATCAGTTTAACATTTGCACTCTCACATCCACTGCTTGGTTTTCATTAACTGTGCAAACTCTCCTAACCCTCTCTCTATGGTTCATAATCATCCATAGTCTCTAACTTTAGAATAGAATAGAATATTCCTTTATTGATCCCCCATGGGGGAAATTTTTTTGTCACAGCAGCATCACAGACAAAGAGTGCAAAAATGCAGTTATAAAAATAAAGATCCTAATATTAAGAACTTAAATAAATGTAATAATTAAGAAAAAATTTAGAAAAAGGAAAAAGGGAGAAGAAAAATAAAACTATCTACAATATACACAATTTAAATGCCAGAAAAAAGTGGTGGTGTAAATCCAGTTATTATTACAGTTCGTTGTAAAGTCTTATTGCAGAGGGGAGGAATGACCTGCGGTAGCGCTCCGTCCTGCAAGGTGGAAGTCTAAGTCT